ACACCGGCGATAGGGTCCCACCTCGTTGACGCGGCCGGCAGGGCGTTTATCAATCCCGATGATCTTTTTCTATTTCTTCGGCCCATTTGAGCAACAGAGCTCATTGACGTCAGAGCCTGTAAAAGCCCATTGGGCTTTTCAAGCTGAACTGAGATATGGTTGGAGCTACAGTTAAACAATCGAATGAAGTAAAACGGGAATGGAGAAAGGAATATAATGGAATTAATGTGAATGGTCAATTAGTTTAGCAGACGATTGTGATTATTGATCTTGTTGAATGCAAAATAGGAATGAGTGTAGTTTATAAGGTTCGATAAGTGTTAAGTCTAGAATGAATCATAATCATTTATTAAAATAATCGATGATTGTTATCAAATGTAATGATCTCTCTACTATTGTTTTTAGAGGAGGAACAAATTTTCACTGTAGACCCAAACCAAGTTTTAATTACCAAAATCGACCCATTTTTTTTAATTACCAAAATCGACCCATTTTATGCCACGTAAGCTTAATCTCATTTACTAATTAGTCGGGGTTACCAACCCCGACTGTTTAGGAGTTGTTAAACCTCAATTAGAAGCCTTAAACCCAATTTTTAATGCCCTAAACAGTCGGGGTTGCCAACCCCGACTAATTAAGAAATGTCATTAAGCTTACGTGGCATAAAATGAGTCGATTTTGGTAATTAAAAAAAAGGGTCGGTTTTGGTAATTAAAACTTGGTTTGGGTCTACAGTGAAAATTTGTTCTTTAGAGGAGAGGAATCCAAAATTCTGAATCCAATTTTAACACTACTTTGATACTCAAAGACGTTGCTTTCACCTGAAAATAGATACATAAATTCTGCTTATATTGTGACACCACACTTTATTCTCATATAGACTAGTGTGAAGAATGTTAGTAGCTTAAATAGAGAAGCTCAATGCCCAAGAACAACTAATGATAGTATTTTGACAGTGGGTTTTAACCAACATCGAGTTACTCTCGGTGGGTCTCATGGTTTGCACACGCCAACGGGTCCGTGGGCCCGGGACATGAATGTGGTAGGAGCCACCTCTAGAGCCCGTAGGGTCCGTGGGCCCGGGACATGAATGTGGTAGGAGCCACCTCTAGAGCCCGTAGGAGCCACCTCTAGAGTCCACATCGCTTGGGAGTGATACTGGGACGTGTCAAGTATCATGTCATGACGATGAGGACATCGCCTTTGTAAGGTGAGATGATTGTGACAACCCCACTTTAGTTCCACATAGATTAGTGTGAAAAAATGTTAGTGGCTTAAATAGAGAAGCACAATGCCCAAGAACAACTAGTGCTAATATTTTGGCAGTGGTTTTAGCTAATATCGAGTTGTTCTCGGTGGATCTCACGGTTTGCACACGCCAACAGATTCGTGGGCCCGGGGCGTGACATATATATTACATGATAAAGGTTTCATATGTCTCCGTCTTGCAATGTCAAAACAGTATCAGAGTAGTAATACATATACCAATGACTATTAATAGTCCCTCATTTCATTATTCCAATCACAAACTATTGATGGAGCTAATGTTAGTGCACATCTTTTTGTTCAAAATCAATGTGGCTTTACAAATACGACATATGATTTGTTTCATAATTGACATTATGATTTTATGTTTAGGAATACTTGCACACAAGACATCCCAGTGCAAAAGCCACATTATCAGCTGGCTCATCAATAAAATACAAAAGATTTTTTTTGCAAATATACACCTCACATCTTTAATATTAAAAAAGTTACCCCTCAAATATTGGTATTTACAACAATACCCCTCAAACATTGGTATTTGCAAAACTACCCCCAAAAACTTGCATGTTGAGTGTTTCTACCGCCCAAGCGTAAGAATGCTGTTCCCAATAATCTCAATAGGCTTGCAATGATTTACCTGCCGTTTAAAAAGTAAAAATGATAAGCGGAAGGGGTAGGAAAAATCAACGCGAAATGAGAGAACCGTGGGGGTAATTTTGCAAATACCAAGATTTAGAGAATAATTTTGCAAATATGAAAGATCTTAGGGGCACGTATGCAAACACCCCAATGCAAAAAAAAAAAAAAAACAGCTGGCCGGCATCAAATGAACCCCTATGTTCCCATTCAATTAATAATTCAATAATTAAACATAGGCTCCCCCTCCTATCACTCCCTCTCACTACTCCTCCAACGGTCATATTCCTTTCAAAGTTCCTGACCGTTACACTTCCAATAAAAAAAAAAATCCCAACTTTCCTCCTTCTTCCACACTAAAACCCTAGGGGAGAGAGGGAAAAAAAAAACCCTAACCCTAACCCCTCCCTCCCTCTCTCTCTCTCTCTCTCTCTCTCCCCTCTGATGGGTTGCTTCCTTGCCTGCTTCGGGGGCGCCAAGGATCGCAAACAGCGCCGGCGATCCAAGAAACCCAAGCCCATCAATCGAGTAATCCCCAATTCACCTTCAATTTTCAAATTCCGCCATTTTTCCCCCTCTGATTTTATGCATTTTTTCCCCGCTTCAGGTGACTCAGAACTACCAACCTTTGCAGATACAAGCTAGCCCATCTCCGCAGAAACCCGAAGCGGCCGCTGTTGTCCCAGTTCCTGAGCGAAAAAAAAAACCCTAACCCTAACCCCTCCCTCCCTCTCTCTCTCTCTCTCTCTCTCTCCCCTCTGATGGGTTGCTTCCTTGCCTGCTTCGGGGGCGCCAAGGATCGCAAACAGCGCCGGCGATCCAAGAAACCCAAGCCCATCAATCGAGTAATCCCCAATTCACCTTCAATTTTCAAATTCCGCCATTTTTCCCCCTCTGATTTTATGCATTTTTTCCCCGCTTCAGGTGACTCAGAACTACCAACCTTTGCAGATACAAGCTAGCCCATCTCCGCAGAAACCCGAAGCGGCCGCTGTTGTCCCAGTTCCTGAGCTGAGGTCTGTTATTATGCACACTAGGTGCTCGTTGAATTGCCTCTAGGAAGCCCATTTTGATTTTTTTTTTCTTTGGTCTTTTTTGTAGAGAGAATCAAGAGCAGGGTATTTCTGGCAGCTGTAGGAAGAAGGTAACGTTCGATCTCAACGTCAGAACTTATGAAAATGTCACAGTCTATGACCCGTTAGAGGATGAGAGAGTGAAAGGAGCGAAGGAAGAAAGAGAAACCAAGGTTAGCTCGGATGCGAACTATAGATACCAGAATTGCGACAGCAGTGACGACGAAGGTCTCGATGATGACGAGGAAGAAGTAGAATATGATGTTAGTGATTTTGAGGACGAGGAAGGTGAAGCTCCTGTTGTGGTGGC